TTTCCCCTGTAGATAAGGTGTCATTTTACTCTTGCTGTATTTTGTTGTGAATTACTTTGAGTTTATCCTGTTTGGGGTTTGTTCAGCTTTTTGAGTCTGTAGGTTTGTGTATATTGATAAATTTGGGGAGTTTTTAGTTATCATTTCTTCAAGTACTCTTTAGCTTTGCCCTTTGGGACTCTGATGTACTAAATGCTAGATTCCATTCTCTTTCTGATGGAGTCATATCTGTTGTTCTTTGTTCTCTTTTGGTGTTCAGTAATTCTCATGATCCCTGTATTCTGTTACTGTGCAGTGTATTAACATGTTAATCTTGGGCTGGGGATTTAGCTCAGTGGTTCTGCCACCTCCCTTGAAAGTGCAAGGTAGGGCTGGAGATTTAGCTCAGTGGTTTCGCCGCCTGCTGGGCAAGCGCAAGGACCCGAGTTCGATCCCCAGTACCAAAAAAAAAAAAAAAGAAAAGAAACTGAAAGTGCAAGGTCCTGAGTTGGATCCCCAGTACCAAAAAAAAAATGTTAATCCTGCAAAACACCACACTCACAGCAACATGCAAAATGATTTTTCCCAAATACCAGGGAGCCTCACGGCCTGGTAAAGCTGGCCCAGTGGTGACGATCACATCATCTCTGGACTGGCTTTTCCTGTTCCTGGTGGGATGCTGAGTTTCCACTGAGGACTGCACATTCTTTTTTTTTTTTTTTTTGCTGCTGGGGATCAAACTCAGGTCCTTACCCTTGCGGAGCAGGCGGCGGAACCACTGAGCTAAATCCCCAGGCCTGGACATTTCTGATATTATGCGTTGTATGGAAGCCTCCTATTATAGCTGGCTTCCTCTGGCACCACTCTGTCAGGGCAGCACTGCTATCTGGTCACATGGGTGTGGAGGTCACTGGCCTCTGCTGATGCAAGGTGGGGATGTCTCCTTGCTGTGGGGTGGGGGCGTAGTCCTGGCTCCCTTGCGCCTCAAGGACCTTCCCTGGTGGGGAGGGTTAGGTGTGTGTCCTTTTGGCTCTGTGTGGTCTCTGCATGTGGTGTTGGGGCTGGCCTCATTGCCGTTGGATGGTGGTGAAAGTCCTAAGTCCATCAGCTTCTCTGATAGCACCTTAGGGTGGAGGAGGAGGGTGCCTCGTGACTGGGTGGGACTGGGTATCTAAGTGTCCCATGTTGTCTCCATTAGTACCAAAAATGGGCCAGGATTCAGTCCTCATGAACCATGGGCTGAGGAGAAAAGTCCTAGGCCCTGCTTCTGACAGCTCCCTAGTTTGGGTCCTCCCTGGGACGGTGGAAGTCTGGGTTCCCCACTGGTTTTTGCCAAAAAGAGTGAGCATGGCACTGCCTATTTCCCTGTGAGGACGTTTGGCCGGAGCAGTGCAGCTGCACTGAAAATTCCGTCTGATGTTTGCCATCTTACTGAGCTGCCCCTTTCCTGTCCCTTTGGTTAGACACGATTGGCTTCTGTGGGAGCATTTTTTGTTCATGACCATTGCATTTCCCGACTGCAGGCTCCTTCAGTTCCAAGTCTGGGACATGCAAGGCAAAGAGAAAGCCTGGGGAACTCAGGGTAGATCCTGGGGTTTCTGCACCTCTTAGTCCTGGGCTTGCTCTGTATATGATGTTCAGAGTGTTAATTGTACTTGGAAAGAGTTATATGTCTACTCCATTTTCCCAAAAACAAATCCTGATTTGTTTTTTGGGGGTTTTTTTGATACCGGGGATTGAACTCCGGACCTTGCACTTGGGAAGCAGGTGGCGGCACCACTGAGCTACCTGATTTTTTTTTTTTTTTTTTGTACCAGGGATCAAACTTGGGTCCTTGCACTTGCGCAGCAGGCGGTGAAACCACTGAGCTAAATCCCTGGCCCAACCTGATTTGTTTTTTTAAATTTAATTTAATTTTTTTAATTTAGAAAATACTTTATTAGTTTCTGTAATCAAACCCACGTAGATAAGACCTTACATATTTAATACAGTGCATTACCCCTGTACAAATGGAAAAAAAAATTAAGTTTAACATTTCTGGACCAATATGGCTGTTAATTTCTGTACAATGCCAACTCAAGACAGTAAACTGGGATAACTTTTTCCAGAGTTGACATCACAGTTAAAGTTTCCAAAGATTCAAATTATATATATGTGTGTGTGTATATATATATATATATTTATATAAAAAGACCAATAATAGCAGTATGTTATGCATCAATAGCAGCAACAGCTTTTCCAGGTTCTGCAGTCATGTGAACAGAATTATAGAGACATCCAGCACACTCCATTTAAAAAAAGAAAGAAAGAAAAGAAAAATACCCAGAAAACAGCAGAGTTCTGTTACTGTTGTGGTACCTGGCACCATTTCTTTTTATTAGCTTCTTAATCATCATCTGGAAAGAAAACATTCTAGAGTAACACCGTTAAAACCAGCTCTGATAAAGCACAGCCACTGCTACGTATCATAAAGCAGGTACAAGATGTTTTACATTCACAGAGGTATGATACAGTACTGTCCTACATCTATAATACTAGAGGATAGAGGATACAATTAAAAAGGCGCTATTTCAGACTTGATTCTACTTTTCCAGCAGAGGGCCCCAAGGATGATATGACACAACTCTGTAAAGAAATGTACTTTCTTAGATAGGATTTCCTTTCATCAGCGGCACAAATTTAATTACTCATTCTCTTCATGAACATCAGCTAAAAACCGTTTTAAAAAAACCTGGGGTGAACACAAAACAACAGAAAAAATAATTCATACGAAGATGATTGAGTGATTTGTTTTTAAGATGAGAATAATATGACCTGACTACTGTAGGGAGTGACCCCAAGAAGGAGGTTGCAGGCTCCCAGAGCTCTAGTAGGTGACAGGGTAGAAGCTGCAGTAGTGACTTGCGCTCTTCCTGGAGGAAGGCAGCCCGAGGGTACTTTCAGGAAGGCTGGTGGCTCTGGTGGACTCTGGTCCACAGGTCTGAGTCATATGTGGGTCTGGGCAGAGATGTAGTCCAAGAGCATGAACTCAGCTAGAGTTGAGTCTCAGCATCACTTCTCCTGGGGGTCCAGGGGTCTTAGTGACCAGTCTGAGTTGGTGTTCAAGGATCAGGATCCACAAGCTACTGTCAGACCAGAGACCCAGGGCCCTCCAGGGTAGAGTCTGCAGACCCTTACCAGGCTGGGTGATGCCAGAGTACATATATCCTGACAACAGCCTGTGGAGAGCAGCCCCAGCCTTGTGACATTGCAAGGCTGTCCCCCCTGCCTCTGTCCTGCTGGGGGCCTGGCCCCAGTGTGGATTCTCTGAAGGGAGATGCAAAGGGTCAGGTGGTGCCCACCCTCTGCGCCCACCTCCCTCCTGGTTTGCTCTAGTACTAGACTCCCATGGAGAGAGGTTCTGTGTAGGGAACAGGGAAGGGAATGTTACCAGGACCTCTGCCGTGGGTCCCTCCTGTGAGCCACCACGGCACAAGGCGAATTAAAGAACAGACAGAAACGAGACTTAAGAGTGGAGAGGCTGGGTCTTGGTCCTGGTCAGCGCTGCTGATGGCAGCAAAGACAAAGGCCCCCAAGCGCATCCAGTGTTTATTGAATGCAATCGTGGGAAGGAATGGGGAGCAGGTTGCTTTGAAGGGATCCAGTGAGACACTGCGAATACCTGGCATGACGGCGCCAGACAGGGCTGTCAGAGAGTCATCACTGCTTACCTTGCTTGGATGGAACAGACCTGTACTGGGACCGGGTGCAGTTAGCAAGCAACCCATTGGATCAGTGAGAAGCCATAATTCAGGGGAAAGGGTTTTAATTGGGGTCATTGCTGACCTCAGCTCCATAACTCAGCAGAGCCCTGCCACTTCACAGACCAGGGCCTAGGTTTCTGTGGCAATCATTGAGAGAGGCACTACACTCGCCCATTAAGTCACGTAGAGCTTCAGTCTGACTCCTGATATAAAACAATACAGCCGAATTATGGAAGGCAAGCAGCAGGGACCACTCATAGCCTGCTAGTACTGGGCAGGGATGTCTGCTACAGTTCTGTACCCCCTAGCCAAGTCCACTGGGGTCCATGCACAGATGGCAACTGTGGAATCAAACTGGATTCAGGACTCAGAAGTAAAAGTATATCAAAGAATGTGTAATAATTTTAAGACCATGATAGTGGAGTTATGGAAAGCTAGAATTTAGCACTTTGAATGCTAAAATGTGACTTCTTCAATTTAACCTTAGAATGGTATGGTGGAGATGTGAAGAAATGTAGCAGGAGACTGTTGGATTGCTTATGCAGTATTTCTTACCATTGTCCAGCCCTTGTGTATTGTTCTAAAAACTAAAGTTTAAATTTTCATGTTATTGCCTGCTAGATGTGCTATTCTCTGGTAGAAAATTCCCATAGTCTGTATTCCAGGAAGTGCCTGAAATTGATTTGTGATGATTTTTAAGTCCATCTAATAAATTATATATGTTTTTAAAAATAAAAAACTGGATTCAGGGAGCTGTGCTATTAAAAGCAAAGTCTCGGGGAGATGGGCTTTCTTAGCTTTCAACAACTCAGATTGTGTGTGGGTGCCCAGCTCCCTTGGGTCGGGCACAGGGTGGCGCCATCCCCTAGGGCTTCTGGGGAACACAGTGGGGACTCGGCCGCTGAGTGGTGGGAGCTACCACTGACAGGTGCTTAGACATAGACCTTTGAGCCTGTGGGGCTCCCTCTCGGGGAAAATGCCTTTGAAGCTGTTCAGGGAGGTGGTGAGTGTCTGACCAGGCAGAGGCCAGGAATGTAGCCTTGAACAGCCTCTGGCTCCCTGGTGATGCTGGGTGATACCTAGCATTGCTGGGCAGTGGTAGAGGGCTCTGTGTCCTCAGTCCTGTGGGATCATAAGCCCAGGGAGGATCCATGGGCTGAGCCTGGACTCCTCACCTGGACCATGGTGTTTGCTTCTGAGGGAGCCTGAGAAGGCCCAGGCATACTTTTGTGGCTAGGGCTGTGTTCTGCTTGTCCTTCATCTCCTCCTTGCTTCCAGACAAATGATGCAGCTGGCAATACCTGGAACTGGCTCTACTTCATCCCTCTCATCATCATTGGCTCCTTCTTCATGCTCAACCTGGTGCTGGGAGTGCTCTCAGGGTAAGACCCTCGGTGTTCTCAGGCGGGGGAGCAGGGTGGAGTCATGTGTGGGCTCCTGTTGTCCTGGGCTCTAGTGGCCTTTCCTTTACGCCAGCCATCCTAAATGTCCCTCGACCATTCACTAGTCTCCTTCCCTCTGTTAAATGTTTGCCTCTGCCCAGCTTCTTCTGTGGAAAGGGGGCACTACTGCGTCTCATTTGGGAGTGGTCTGTGCTGGGGTTTCAGGAAACCTCAGTGGCCATAGGGAGCCCCTCGGTTACCACGGTAGGGTACAGACTTGACTCAGAGTCCTGGCTCTCCATCCATCCCAGCCCTGTCCCAGGCGCCCCCTTCTGCTCAGGTCACTTCTCTGTGCTGTGTGCTCCCCAGGAGAGCGCCTGGGGCTGGAAGTGTTTCCTGAGAGAGGTGTCCTGACCCTTCCTGGAAGTGAGCTGTGGTATGCTGGCAGTGGGCGCACAGCACCCTGCCATCTTCCCCTGGGCTGGTGGAACTTGCACAGGACTGAGGGAGCTTCGTTGCACAGGAGGTGGAGGGGGGGTCAGGCCTGGCTTGCTTCTCTGTTTCCACCTGAGCAACAGACATTGTCATGTAGACATTGTCATTCTGCCCACCCTGAAGACCCCTGCTCACTCTCAAGGAGGGTTGGGGATAGGACCCAGTGGCCCCAAGGGGCAGCTGCCATGCTGGCCTGGAAAGGATCAGACAGAGAGGACAGCAGCTGGCAGAGGCCTGCATGCTCTAGAGCTGGAGCAGCCATAGCCTCTGCCCTTTCCTGTGAGGGATGATTGCCACTAGCATGTCTTTCAGGTCCTCTGCATAGACCAGCTGAGTACATAGTAGAGGAGGTAGATGAGGATTCCTAGTCTGCTGGGGAAGCCAGGGGCTCAGAGAAGGCACCTGAAGAGGGGGCACCTCACCTGAGACCCAGGGAGGAATGAGAGAGGTGGAGGAGGAAGGAGATGCCTCAGGTCAGAGCACGGCTGGGCTAGGGGCTCAGCGGGACGGAGACACATGCTGCATGTGTGCTGCAGGGGTGGAAAGGTGTGGCATGTATGCAACTGTGGGGTGGAGGGGTGAGGCATGCATGCTACAGTAGGATGGAGAGGTGCAGCAACATGTGCGATGCATGGATGGAGAGGGATGGTACTTAGGCCCTGAGGTGGAGGAGAAGGATGGCATGTGTGTGTGCAGTGGAACAGAATCCGGGCACGTATGTGCTCCAGAGGTGCTCAGCTGGAGCCAGTGTGCGGTGGGAAGGGATGTCGGGCTGACAGGGCATGGTAGCAGTCAGGCCTGTGAGTTCATGGGCTTTGGACATGCACACTGCACAGGGCAGGGTTGGCCAGCATGCTGGGTGGGTTTACAGTGGGTGGGAAAGCAGACCCCTCAGGGTTGCCTCGTGTGTGCGTACAGCAGTCAGATGTGGCAGGGCTATGTGGTGAGGCTGTGAAGCTCTTCGCTCCCGACCCACGACCCTGGCCCCGGGAAGAGCATACGGGACGACTCCCAGGTTGGCCCTGCTGGGCCTCCTCTTAGGTGTCCAGGCCAGCACACAGGCCCAGGGCTTCCTCCCATTCCTGGGACACTGGGAGAGGGCTAGGTCGTCCCTGCTCGGCTGCTGCCTAGCAGCCTACTCTGGTCCAGCTGCAGCTCTGCTTGGCCTGTGCCAGCTGCAGGAGAGGCCAGTGTGGAGGTGCTTCAGCCTTGTTCTTCTTCCTTCCTGCAGCCTCTGTTGGGGGTTGCTCTGGGCTCTTTGTACCCAGTGAGGATGAAGCTCAGGGAGGCAAGTACCACACTGGCCCCCAGGCAAAGGAGCTGCTCTTTGGTGGGGTGCAAGCTGCCAGAATGAGATTCTGCTCATGGCTCTCAGCCCAGCTCCAGCAATATCATCACTGCTTCCCCCAGCCCAGGCCCTGCCATTCCTGGGGCATGGACCAGGGAGCCGTCCTGGGTGGGGAGACCACAGTGGACCCTTCCTCCTGGACACTCAGGATGCGGAGTGTGCAGAGGAGAAGGCAGAGGCCTGGGTAGGACTGTCTCTACTCACTGCCTGGGTGGCAGCAGCTCAGCCACTGGTGGGCACTGGCCATGGGCTTGAGGTCAGTCCCGTCAGGACCAGGTTTTCCTTTGTACTGTGGCCTGAAGACCTCCTCCATAGGGTCTAGGAACTTGTGTGTGCCTGCAGAGCTGTATGTACTCACATGTGGGGGGTGTCTGTGTGTGCCTGTGAATGGCTTCCCTCTGCCTCTGACCCTAGGACTTACACTGGGCGTCAGGGCTGGTGTGGCACGGCCAGTTCTGTACTGGTCACCCAGCTGTGAAGGGGTGGGGTCGGGGCAGGCTTAAGCGGGCAGAGGACCTCCCTTCCTGCCCATTGTGAGCCTCAGAGGTTTGATGGCTGAGGCTGCATGGCTACTGCAGGGTTTCCCTCTTGACTGTTTGGCCCATCCAGTCCTTTCTTGCCTGCTTCCTGTCTGTCCCGTCCCCGTCCAGCAGTGGCTTGTGCCTCACCTGCAGATAACAGAGTGGACATTATCCTGTGTGGAATTCTTGCCAGAGCTCTCTGGATAGCAGATAACAGGCCTGGCCTTTGAGATCCATGCCTACGCCTGCCCTAGGCAGGGGCTGGGGTTGTCTCTGCCCCCCAGAAACCCTTTGTCCCCGAGTGCTGCAGTCTGAAGAGGGTTGGCCTGGGCTGACAGGCAGGTTCCCCTGGGAAGCAGAGCTGCCTGGTGCTGTCCAGCACATAGGTTAGAAGAAGGTGGCTGGAAGGGCCCGCTTGGTCTCTGGTGCTGCACGCCAGTGGCTGTGTGGTTTCTGCACTCAATGCTCTGCTTGCTTCCCCTGCCCTGATGTGGTGCAGAGAGTTTGCCAAGGAGCGAGAACGGGTGGAAAATCGCCGCGCCTTCCTGAAGCTGCGCCGGCAGCAGCAGATCGAGCGGGAGCTGAACGGGTACCTGGAGTGGATCTTCAAGGCTGGTGAGAGTCCAAGGGGTCAGGTGCTGCACTCCTGACCTGCCTGCTGTCTCTGTCGCCAGATCTGTTCTGCCTCTGGGGTGAGGTTTGGCGGAGGAAGGCTTTGAAATGAGGAGCCCTTTCTCTCCAGCTTACCTGGAGCACAGGCACCAGGCAGCCATATGGTGCTGAGGACAGCGTGTGGCCCAGCCTAGAGCTGGTTTCTATTCCTTAGAACTGAGGGCCCTGCCCTTGATCAGAGCCCTGGCTCTGGCCTCTGGGAGTTAGGACTTTGTGGCGCCCTTCTTTGGGCCTGGTCAGTGGTCTCCTCCATGGGGCTACCCTCAACTGCTGAGGTCTCACAAGTTGTTCTCCTGTGATCCGCTGTCCTGCAGGGCAAAGTGTGGGTGGGGAAGTGGGCGGGACTCAGCACAGGGTGCTTTCTGGTTCTTGGTAAAAGCAGCCCAGCCACAGGCCTGCCAGCTGCTGGAGTGTCAGCGCAGAGGTGGCGGGTTCTTCCAGGCAGGGTCTGCACTCATCTGAAGGCGTTGCTGGGGCCTGCCCTGTTGGGATGGAGCAGGAAGGCTCTGACCCGGGCTGTGTCCCTCACAGAGGAAGTCATGCTGGCTGAGGAGGATAAGAACGCGGAGGAGAAGTCCCCCTTGGATGGTAAGTGACTCAGTGTGGAGTGCGGACCTGGGGCTGGGTGGGCAGTGCCTGTGTGCATGCTTGCTTGTTTCCCACAGGACACGCTGCTTGCTGAGCACCCACACATTGTCGCCCTAACCAGACACAGGCCAGGGCCTGAGCCTAGCCTCAACACCTACACACAGGCTGTGGAAAGCACTGTTAGACAGAGCTGTGCCAGAGCTGTGTACCTGCAAGTCTGAGCTGAACTCAGTGTCCCGGGACTTGGGGTGCTGCTGCTCCCAAAGGCTATGGGAAGCTCCTGGGACCCCTGGGCCATGAGTGGGGCTGAGGGCAGGCACTGCTGCTGTCACTGGCGTGGCTGCCAGTACAGGAAAGCTCTGCCAGGCTGCTGCACACCCAGGGGTCTGAGCAGGTCAGCGCTGGCCTTGCCCCAGGGGAATGTTTCTGGTTTCCCTGGTGGCCAGACTTCCCCACTGACCTCATTTTAAAGAGAAGAGGAAGCAAACAGCCTCAAAATTCCTTGTCTTCCCTCCTCACTGGTGGAGAGGGGGCCCTAGGGGGCCTGGAATTGTCCTGCCTCAGCCCCAGTTTTAGGACAGGAGCTCAGGAAAGGCAGCCTGCTCTGTGAAGGGATCACCTGCCCTCATCTGGGAGGTACCCTGAGGTGGGTGCCTGGACAGCAGTTCACAGAGTCTCCACTACCCTTGGTTTAAAGCAGTGTTGAAGAGAGCTGCCACCAAGAAGAGCCGAAACGACCTGATCCATGCAGAGGAGGGTGAGGACCGATTTGCAGATCTCTGTGCGGTCGGTGAGTCCCTGAGGTCTGCAGCTCTGCCGGCTCCCGGCTGCCCATGGACTGTGCACCCAGCTTCCTCCCTGTCCCCAGCCACTCCTGGCTCTCTTCTCGCCCAAATGTGTGCTCGCTCATCACAGTACACTGCTAGCTGTGGCTGTGTGGAAAGAGCCCAGGGCTGTACGGATCCCCAGCTCTGAAGGGACCGAAGGTTTCCAGGTGTCTCTCTCAGCCCTCTGTCTCCATCCTGGGCCTAGCCACAGCCCCGGCTGCTCACTCGGGGAGCAGGAGGCTCCAGTTAGCTTATCCTGCAGAGCTGTTTGGGTTTCCTTAGTATTAGAAATGTCTGGCCCTTCCCACCATGGTCTGCCCCCGTGGGTTTTGCCTCCCAGGAGGATGCAGCTGGGGCTCCACCTGCTGCTGTGGGGGGAACCCAGATGCTGGCTGGGGACTTGTGTCACTGTGTGGGCTTGTGTCAACCCACTGTACTCACCTGCTTTCCTGAAATCTGAGTGAACCAGAGTCACACCTGTGTCTTACTGGATCATTACCCTTATGAGGTAGAACCCTAATAGAAAGATGCACACAAGTGGGCATGCGCAAGTGCACTCCTCAGCTTTTTTGTCTTCACTCAGGCCCCAGAAAGCCATGGTAGCCACGCAGAGCTGTGCTTCCTTATCGCCTGCTCGTCTCGGCGTGCATGGGCGCACATACATGACTTGCATGTACACACATACATGCGTGTAGAATTAGTGCAGCTTTTCCTGTTACACAAATAATTTTCTACAAATTTTCTCATGGATACCTTTTGGAAACCCATCTCTAGTCTGATTTCATAAAAGGAAGTGAAGAGTATTAAAAAAATCTTTTTCTGTGGCTTCTAATCATTTACATAACATTGAAATTCTCTGATATTTGTAGGTGAGATGCAACTGTGAGCCATATAGTCCAAAGAGAAAGGAAGGAGGGAAGGAAGGATGAAAGAAAGAGAGAGATAGAACTTAATCAATCTTGTCATTTATACTTTGCTAAGAAATCTTCCATTTTCTCTGGGTGTTCAAACTTGTTTGTATAGAGCTGCAAGTATATTGTCATATAATTTCTTCCATCTCTCCTATATTCAATCATTTGTGTGTTTATTCGCTCAGTAAGTGTTTATTAAGTGCCTACCTTTGCTGCTAACTGAAAAGCATCGGGGCTACCGATGAACAGACAATGAAGGTGCTTCCTCTTTTGGAGTTTTTGTTCCAGAGAGGGCATCAGGCAAGTAGGAAAATAGGAAGAATGTATAGTAGGTCAGAACTGTACTCAAAGGAGGAGAGCAGGGTTGGGGGAGGTCCGAAGGGGCTGGGGGTTGCAGTTCAAAGGCCTCAGGACAAGATTTGGCTTTCAGCAAGGAACTGAGGGAAATAAGGGAGCCTCCCCAGCAGGGTCAGGCCTTGAGGCCGAGAGTCTGGCCTGGGAGGAGGCCACCGCGAGCCAGCACTCAGGCATGGGTGGGTCTGCAGGGTTACTGTCTAGCTTCTGTGGTGGCAGGGTCTCTGGGTCCATCTGAACTCTGTGTTCAAGGTAAACTGAACTAGGGGAGGGGCAGTACCAGAGTGGTGAGTTCGCAGACCTGGAGGCGGAGGGAAGGGAATGCTGCTGACTGTTCCCACTGCGGCTGTGTTTTGAAGACAGACATGCAAGGTTTGCCGAACACTTGGTTGTGGGTAGAGGAGAGACATCGGGGGACAGGTCCACAGGTTTTGGCCAGGTGGCAGAGGGCCGGAGTAGCTCTGCCTGGGAGGCAGAACTGCAGGGGAGTGGGGTGGTGGGCCTGGTTTCTGCCTCAGTTCAGGACATCCTGGGTTTGGGATGCATGTTGGAAGGCAAGGCAGATGCATGTGTTCGTGCTGGTGCCTGGCACGTGGTTGGTGTGAGATACGGGGCTGCCGGGGAAATGTGCAGGCCCCGGCTGCCTCAGATCCAGCCATTCCTTTCGGGTCCCAGCGAGTCTCTCTTTGCCCTTCTTCTTTTTTCTTAATTAGGGTCATGTGGAATATACCTATATCTATATATCTGTGTGATCATTTTAGATACCAGATTTTAAATTTCTTCTCTTGGTTTTCAGTTTTAGTTTCTTTTTTTTATATTTAAATTTATCTTTCTGGGTTTTTTTGTTTATTATTTGTGTAGTTCTTAAAATATATAATTTATTCTTTTTTCTTCTTTAATAGTGAAGGTCTTTTAGGTTTACATTTTTCTCTACATAAAGCTTTGCTGTGATTTTTCCTTTAGGTCAGTTTCTAAATAATCTTTACTTTGCTCTTTGGGTCAAAAGTTATCTTAGGAGAATGCTTCTTAATTGACAAATAGTTACAATATTTTGATTATTATTTCTAATTTAATCAGATAGAGATTGGGAAAGGTCCCTTGTAAATCTCCACACTGAAAGTTTTCCGGTTGTAGCTTCATAGCTGATTTTTAAATTTCATTAGTGTAAGCAGGAGTATGTCCTATGTCTGAGAGATGTCAGCGTGTAGGCCTGTTGGTTGGAGTTCAGTTTGTTGATCATAGTTTGCAGTTCTTTGTGATTTTTGTCTTCTGGATCTGTCTAGTTCTGAGAGGTTTTGAGCATTCCCACTGTGTGTGTTTTTCATAAAGTTCCCTTTGTGTGTCTCATGGCTTTTGTTTGTGTTCTTGGCCATGGTGGAGTTTGACCAACAGGAAGTTAGGATTGTTGTGCCTTCTTCGTAAGTTACCTTTGCTCTGTGCAGCCTGCACTGTGTGGCTCTCCCATGCCTAATGTTAAATGCCATCCACCACTCTGCTGTTTGTCACTATCATTGTTTTTTATTTTTAGAATACATTTGCCTGGTACCGCTTTCCTTTTCTGTTCTTTAACATTTTAAGTATTCTTGTAAATTTATTTATCTGGGTTTTGCTTTTTTTTTTTTTAAACTGTCTTATGGTCTTTCTCTCTTTTTTTTTTTTTTTGTTATTTTTTGAGAAGAAACTCTTTTTTTTTTTTTTCTTTTTTGGTACCAGGGATTGAACTCGGGACCTTGTGCTTGCGAGGCAGGCACTGGAACCACTAAGCTAAATCCCTGGCCCTGGGTTTTGCTTTCCTGACTTATTAAAAAAGAAGAAAGAGGGCTGGGGATTTAGCTCAGTGGTTTTGCTGCCTGCTGCACAAGCGCAAGGACCCGAGTTCGATCCCCAGT